GGTGGAAAGTGGATGGGAGGAGCAAAGGGAAGACACATTTAACAAATAAAGGAATGTAAATTTCTCTGTGCAAAAAACGTTATATAACTTTTGCTTTATAAAAATAAAAATTAAAAGATTGGTCTCTATTTTTACTCTCTGATTTCCTTCTCTATTCTCCTCCCTCCTCTGCCCAGTCCACACTATCTTCAGTGTCCATTCATAACCATTTTCACTGCTTTTATGTCCTCCAATATTTTAATCTCTACCATAAAGTGCAGAGAGTCAGTATATATTAAGTGGATATATACAATAGCGATCGAATGTTTAAAAAATAATAAGAATAATAAAAATTTAAAAGATCAGGTCATAATTCCTGCAGAATTTTCCAATTCATATTTTTTAATTGCCAGAGAGTATGTGCACTTGCTATAAAGACAGAGACAGAGACAAAGATAGAGACTGAGAGAAAGAGAAAAGGAGAAAGCACCTCCCTCCGCTAATGGGGTTTGGCCATGCTACAATCCTTTCTTCTTCATTTTCCATCCTCTTAGGATTTTGGGCATAATACACACATGCAACTGGTGTGCTTTTTAAGCTGCTGGGGCTGGGATTTGAGCCATGGTTGGCCATGTGGGATCTGGCTCCCTTAATTGCTAGACTATGGGGTCAGCTCTTCAATTCAGAATTTGGCTGATTGTATCCTCAAGGAATCATTTAACAGGTTCTCATATCCCCACATTTTCTGAAAACTGGTACATAAATCTAGAGACTTAATTATAGATTTAGATTCAAATAATTTTTTTTCTCACAAAACCATAAATAACTTTTATACTATATTTTATGTTTTAAAAGTTGGGAATTTGGGCAGCCAGAAACCTGATGGTTACAGGACTGGATCCCACATGGCTGACTGCATAGTTCAAGTCCCTGACCAGAGGCTTGAAAAATATGTTGGGCACATGTGCATGTGTGCCCAAAATCCTGAGTGGATGAGGCAAGAGGATTATGGCATGGCTATCCCCCCTGGGGTTGCTTTCTCTCTGTCTCTGTCTCTGTCTCTCTCTGGTGAGCACACACCCCTCTCTAGCAAATTTAAAAAAAAATCTGAATTTGAAATAACAACACAATAGGTGGCATTTTGCACCTAGAACACAAAATTTCCAAGAAAGGGGAGGTAAGTTGTTCATGCTAGTTTCTGACTCATGCATGAGTGAATCACCTTTACTCAGAGAGTTAATGGTACTCATGACTGCTCTCTTCCAGAAAATGCAGATAGAGGTCATGGTTAATATTTTATTCCTAACAAATTAATTAGCAATATCTTCAGTCATATGCATCATTGCATGAAGATATTCAAATACCTTTAATTAAAGATATCATTTCTTTGCCTAAATTCTAAGCTATGAATAAAAATGTTTGAACTAGCTAATGAATAGAGAAAACACGACAGGAAAATTGGAATTTCTTTGAAATTTTAATATATTTTCATAATTGTTTAAAATGAAAGCAAGCCCAAGTATGCTGAAGCAGGACTGTGGCATTGTTCTGGAGCATTGGGGTCTGCAGGTATCCAATAGCCCTCTCCTTCCTACCTGAGTTGGGAGCAGAAAGCTAGAATTTAAAAAAATCTAGACAGAAGACAATAAAAATAATTGCTTCTATGATTTTAAAAAAATTGATTGATTTGGGGGCCAGCAGATAGCCTAGTAGTTACATCACTGGATTCCCACATGGCTGACCATAGTTTGAGTCCTGGACCTGGTGGCTTAAAACTGGGACGTGTGTGTGCATGCCCCAGATCCCAGGAGGAGAATGGAGAAGGGATTGCAGCATGGCCATCATCCCTGGGGGTGATTTCTCACTTTCCTGCTCTCTCTCTCTCTCTCTCTCTCTCTCTCTCTCTCTCTCTCTGACAAGTGTATGTGCCGTAAGGCAAAAATCTTAAAA